TATTTTTATTTCAGAACTTTCAAAATATTAGAAGTTCAAATTTTTTTATTTTATAGACAGTTTAGAATTTTTTACATAAGTGCTTATTTATCTCTATAACTCAATCTGAACAGAGTTCCTTTGATATGTAAAAATTAAAAAAGATTTTATTATTAATTTATTAATGTCCTCCAGATGTAAGAGAACATACACAATGAAAGATAAAGGCCTTTTTAATTTACAAACAGAAACAGCCACAGAGAAAGCAGAAAAGATGTTGCTTTAGTTCTATTTTTAGTCACAGTTCAAGGGAAAACTCAAAAACATAAAAATTCTCTGGTCAACATGTCAAAAGGCTGACCTCCTTCAACATGGGCACAGAAGTTTTAATTGATTTGAGCTCAAAATGGACAAAAAACACAAAGAAAATTACTAAAAAACACATTTGCTGTCAGATCTCACCCCAAAGAGATCTTGATTATCTAATAATCCATTTACAGAGATTACCAAATGACAGGACATGAAATCAAATTCCTAGCCACAGCTGCCACTGGGGAATAATTTATGTGCCATAAACAAACTAGAAACAAACAAAACACAATCAGTAGAAAAAAATGTATAGGTATGGTCTGTCAGCGAAATTAGAACTCTATTGCTACTTGGATTTACTTTGGAGAGCCAAAGACATGTCTGGGTTGAAGCTGCCCATACCTGGTCTTCCAGGTGAATTCATTGTGCATCACATTGGGATCCAAAATGATAAAATGATTTTTTTTTGAAAAAGTAAAACCACAATTCTTACACAAATATGAAATGAACATGTGTCCAAAATTGAATTTAGTGAATAAGGGAACTTGAAAGGAGTTAAAACTGATTCAAAGGAGAATTCAAAGTTCATACCCAAACATCAGCTCATCAGGATGCTGAAAGGAGTGTACGTAACAGCAGAAAAACAGATTTCGTTCACAGTGGGGAAGGGAAGTCAGTTAAAGTTCACTAGGGAGATTGTGCATTTCAGTGGATGTGGATTATCTGCATTACAGTCATGTTTCTGTAAGTTAATTTCTGTCTCTACAGAGCTGTAAAATTGTCTAAGGACAATAATAGTCAGGGGTAACTCTGATGGATGAACTAAGGTCTTAATTTTTCCTTACAGGAGTGTATTTATTAAAAAAAAAAGTATTTTTTTAAATATTTTTTTTATTGATTTCAAAGAGGAAGAGGGATAGATAGAAACATCAATGATGAGAGAGTATCACTGATTGGCTGCCTCCTGCACGGCCCCCACTAGGGTCCAAGCAGCAACCCAGGCATATTCCCTGACCAGGAATCAAACCATGACCTCCTGGTTTATAGGTTGGTGCTCAGCCAGGGAACCATGCCGGCCGCAAATTTCACAAATATTTACTGAGCATTTTCTATACCCCATGCACCATTCTGGGTACTGGGAATTCAGCAGTAAATAAAACAGGCAAAAATTCCTGCTCTATGGAGCCTACATTCTAGAGTTCAGTTGACTTAGAACGTGATGAGTTTGAAGTGATAACAGGAAAAGCATGTGGATATTTAGGCATTTGGATTCAGTGGTACTAAACATTAGAAAGACATAAAAATTAAAGATGTGGATGAGCTCTTTTGAGAATCTGAGCAGATAGCCTCTGTTCATGTTCATTAAAATAAAATTTTCTAATTAAAAATAACAGATTTTTTTCTCATTCCTCACTGTTGACTTTCTTTAAATTCATTTAGTGACATAATATCAATGAATTTGGGTTTCTAACTAATAGATTTTAGGCTCATATGTTTAGAAACACGTTGAAACATGTTTCTGCTTTTTCCCCCCGCTATTTTAAAAATATCTCTATTTTATTGATTTCAGAGGGGGAGAAATAGAAACATGATAAGAATCATTGATTGGCTGCCTCCTGCACGCCCCCTACTGGGGATGGAGCCCACAACCAGGGCATGTGCACTTGATGGGAATCAAACCTGGGACCCTTCAGTCAGCAGGCCAATGCTCTATCCACTGAGCCAAAGCAGCTAGGGCTGTGCTATTCATTTTTATCAGCAGCAAAAATAAATCTTTTACTTGATGACTTAAAATGAAAAAGACAAAAACACACAAAAGAAAACATCAACCGTTGATTAATTTTCCCCAAAAGCATTTTAGTTGACTATTGCACATAAGTTAAATATGCAGTCAGAAGCGCAATATACTTTTGAAGGGGAAAAAAACTGAATCTGCACTTAACAATTTATAGGTTTTGACAGCTTGTTAGTTCTTCCATTAAAAAATGAACCACAAATTAGAAACTGCTGGGATCCCCACTCCCCCTACCCCGCACCCCTCTATAGGTAAATTTTGTTCCCTTGTGAAAAAGGCTCAGCATTTTCCCATGTCGTTTTTGATTCATGAAATGTGAATGTATTTTCCCTTGTCTTTGATTGCTTGTATTTTCCCTTGAATTCTAATTAAGTTGATTATAATTCATGAATAAATATTTAAAAGATTTCCCCAAATCAGAATCAACAGTGATGGCCTGGGTGGGAGTTTCATTGTATGGTTGTCTTGTACATATTAATAGGCACTTCCCCAATTTCCATTTAATCATAGAGTTTGTCATGCTTCTTACTGGCAGCACCGAGCCAGCTCTGTAACTGATACACTACTTCAATAATCTTGAAGAAAACTATTAAAGAGCAGAAATTAATGTAAATACAAAGACACATGTAAGACTTACTTGTCCTTAAATACATAATGGCTGTATTCCTTCTGTTTGTGATTAAGTAGCCTATACTTAACATTTTAGAATGAATACCCCAAACATTTTGAATAATAGACTACTTTGAATTTTAATTAAATGTCAATACAGTTATAGGGAGGAAGAATATAAAATATTGAGTTTTTAAAATCTTACTGTAAGGTGCATGCTTAAGTAGTTAGGAGTAAAATGTCATGATGTCTGCAACTTGCAAATAGTTCAGCAATAATAACCATTATTTAATTTAGGTGGTGGCTGTATGGCAATTTATTGAACTATTATAATTATAGAGTTTTCTGTACTTCTGATATGTTTCATAATTAAATGTTGAAAGAAAGCTTTTAGAGATAATGCTCTATGTGAAGTAATTTATTCCTTTTGAAATTCTAGGAAGGTTAAAATGCATGTTCATAATAACAATAAAATTACAAGGATTTACAACGTAATCGGAACTATCAGAGGATCTGTGGAACCCGGTGAGTCTGAGAATTTTTAAAAGCACTTTGTTTTTACAAACATTAAAAGAGAGAGAAGATCATTTTACTCAACATCTGATGTTTTCTTTGGCTGATATAAAACAACTACATTTGAAAAAATATTTGTACTAATCTAAAATAAGACTCTCCCTTTTAGCGTGAATGTTTTCCTATGGAGGAAACTCAAGCAAGAGGAAATTTAATTTAAAAAACATGTCAATTACAACTATTTATAATGCATTCGAAGTTGTAGTTCTTTTGAACACATTCTTTTCCAGACAGGTATGTTATTCTGGGAGGTCATCGGGATTCCTGGGTGTTTGGAGGTATCGACCCAACCACTGGCACTGCTGCTTTACAAGAAATTGCTCAGAGTTTTGGGAAACTGATGAGTAGAGGTAAGTGATGTTCGGTGGGTGAGGACACAAGGTGACACACCGCTCTCCTTCATTCTAGGCAGGTGTGCCTAACCGTGTGTGTTAACGATTACAGGATGGAGACCTCGGAGAACTATCATTTTCGCCAGCTGGGACGCAGAAGAATTTGGACTTCTGGGATCCACAGAATGGGCTGAGGTAAACAAGTTCTTATTTTCTTGGTCAACCGGGAACAAGTATCTGTGCCTCCGGATGTCCACAAATAGATTCCACTGCCTAATATGGTTTTAATCTGGAGAAAGTCGAAAGTCTCAAGAGAACTTAAGAACTAGAGTTTGTTTTTACTTTCACATCAGTTTGGCAAGACAGAATAACCTCTTAAAATCTCTTAAGTTCAGAAAAAAGTCAAAACTAGTGAGCTATTTCTGACAAGTGAATTGACTTATCTAAAAACTCGTACAGATCTCTAGAGTAACTTTTCAAGTGTTTGATGTTTCCTTGGAATTCTTCTAAGAAAACAAGAGTTTCTATTAAGATGTCTTGACTTTGATTATAATTTCACATGTATAGACTCCATATAAAATTGCAACCATATGTATATTTTACTATTCACAGAAGTGCCAGATTGCTGACTATGTGGTAATTTTGTACATAGCATTACTTCAGTTAACTGCCTTACTTTAGAATTTCTGAGATTTATTTTTTCTTCGGATATGATTTCCATTTGTGATGGGCTCTTAATGCTTTATCCTTTAGTGTCTCTCCTAGGCCGCCTTCTTTCATCTTTTCCCCTTAGCCTCTCTGTCAAGTAACTAAGTTCTTAAATGTACAAGGTAAGCTCACAATTCTTATGAAGGCATGTGCACTATATAAGCACTTACTCTCCCTCTACTTTCCTCTGTGTATCTTTTATAAGTCCAGGTATTTTTATAAGTCCAGATTTCATAGGGTTGTTTGAAACATGTCAAACAATTCTTGACATTGGCTCTAGTTCTTAAAATGCTTTCGTCCTGACTCACTTTCTCTTAACTTTACTTTAAAATAATATGAATCAAATCAGTATGGGGGTAAAGTCACACACACAGTTACCGGTCTATCCCTTATCCTTTTGACTCATTTTTATATCACAAAGTTTTATTATTACATTGCTTTTATAAACATGCTTTTTGAAAGTTGACTATTTAGATTAATCAAATTTTATTAAGGTCGTTTACATTTAGAAATATGTAATTTCATGTGAATATGTGTATACATAAATACATGTCTCTATAATGTTAGCAGCTTAAAATAAAGATCAAAGAAATCTAAGATATAAAATACTATGCTTTGCATTAATTTAAATACTTGGTGAAAAGATAATTTCAACAGTTTCTAGTTTCCTACCATATTTTTCATCATATTCAACAGCATACTTTATTTAATTAATTAAAAAATCTTCCTTATTTCTAATGTAACTGTTATAATGGAAACTCCAACCCTATACTTGCCCACAGCAGAGGTAACTATCGTGTGGCCTGTGTGGGCAGTGCAGAGAGTGGCAGTCCTCACTGGGCCCTAACCTCTCACAGCTTTAAATGTTTTTATTACAGTAAGTTCTTATAAGTAAGGCAGTGAGAGAGAAGTAAAGGGTGCTCTCGCATATTCCCGTGTGTGTGACATTCATCTTCTCTACATAATCTTTCTTGGGGGGTTGTGGAGAGGGAGAAAGTCAGAAACAGTCTTGTGTTTGTCCTAAAGGTCCTTCCTTTTCTCCCTCTAGTTTTGTTCTGCCTTCCTCTTTCTCTTTTTTTTTGTTCATATTTTCTAATTATCTTTAAAAATCAATGAAATTTTCTATTTTTCAATTTTTTTGTACTTCCTTATTTTTCACTTAAAATGATATATTTATGTGGGTATTCATTATTAGTGGATCTCAAACTTCAGTGCATGTAAGGATTGCCAGGGCACCTTTTGGAAAATACAGATTTCCAGGCCTTGCTTTCAGCAATTCTTAGGTCTGGGGTGGGGCCCAGAATCTGGGAGCCTCGCCCCTTCATGTTCTGTCTGGTTTAGGGAATCAAAGAACCACACTTTGAAAGTACTTTTTCTCTGGGGCTGCCTCTATTGTTGTAAATAAATATCTACAGCAGCATAATCTTTTTCTTACTTGTTTTAATTTCATTTATGTTGTTGTCAACCAACCAGTTATCAGCTATCAGCATTTTTTAGAAATTATGGTTGAAGGCATAGGTATTTGATTCATAATGTACTTGCAGATTACTTTTATACTCGTTTATTTTGTCTCCATTCCCACAATTGTAATACTATGAATTAACAACTTTGCTTCAATTTTAGGAGAATGCAAAAACACTCCAGGAGAGAAGCATCGCTTATGTCAACTCAGATTCATCGATTGAAGGTACATTTAATGTATAACTAAGCTATCAAGCCTAATTTCTTTAGAATATTTACCATTTGGATTCCTGTTTAAAACTCCAGTATTAACTACGTCCTTCCTATAGAGGTATTAAAAGAATTTGGCTAAAATATTTCAGAAGAGGTGGTCTACAGAATATTTCACACAGAAATACTTTCTGGTCCTAGCTGGTTTGGCTCAGTGGCTAGAGCGTTGGCCCACAGACTGAAAGGCCGAGGGTTTGACTCTGGTCAAGGGCATGTACATTGGTACAGGTTCTACCCCAGCTCTGGTCGGGGTGCATGTGGGAGGCAACCCAATCAATGTGCCCTTCTCACATCGAGTTTCTCTGTCTCTATCCCTCTCTTCCACTCTCTCTAGACATGCTGTTGTCTAATGTCTTGCTATATACTAATTGAATGAATGCTGTAGCCTTACCATTATATATATATTTTTCCCACTAAACACCCTCTAAGAGACACTGCATTAATGACCCTTATGACATGGGAGCTGCTGTCCTAGCCACCAAAGTCCACTTACACCTTCTGTGAAGAGTGCACTGCAGTCTCTCTTGCTCCTGAAGAACTATTTCCAGCCTAAATTTTTTTTATTGGTTTTTAGAAAGAAGGGGAGCATGAGAGAGAGATCAATTTGTTGTTCCACTTATTTATTAATTCATTGGTTGATTTTTGTGCCCTGCCTGGGGATTGAACCCACAACCTTGGCATATCAGGACAATGCTCTAATCAACCATCTGGCCAGGGCTCCACCCTATTTTGAATTCCCAGGGAGTGATCCCACTGAAATTTGTTATATAGTTATAATTAGAAAATAAAGTTAAAATTAAATATAAATTGGAATTTCATTGGAAAGTATTAAAATATTCTGCTTTATTTTTCAGGCAATTATACTCTCAGAGTTGACTGTACACCCCTTCTTTACCAATTGGTGTATAAACTGACAAAGGAGGTATACAAGTACATCTGTCTTATGTTTTCTGATGACAGCGAATAAGTTTTTTTTAACTAGCTATACTTATTTTTAAACTGGTGACAGACATAGCTGATTTGTGTAAATAAGTCAGAACAAAGATCTTTAATACACTATGTGACATTACAATTATGACAGCATTGCTAGCGTCTCTGTTCTAATAAGTTTGTATTGTGTCCGCTGAGCTGGAATGGAAAAGCCTTGGTTCAGAGATTGCCTTGACTGCTCATTCATTCAACAAATATTTATTGAGTGGTTACTAGTTACCAGGTCCCATAAAATAAATTATAGCAGCAACAATAAAATGACAAGGTCACTGAATCCAAATACTTTGTAATCTAGAGAAGATACAGACCCATAAATGAGGAATTACAGTTCCCTGGAATATTGGATACTCTATACAATGAAGAACAGTTACAGAAGAGAACCTAAAGTCCCAGGGTAGCTGGGGAAGTTGGGAAGCATCAGGGGATGTTTACAGAATAATTAATGCTTAGGCTGTAGAACAGAAGGATGTGAAGGTGAGGGAGAAGGCGTAAGCAGAGGACACAGATCTCTCAAAAGATGTGGATGAAAGAACATACTTCCTGACCCGGAGGTAGCTCAGTATGACCTAAGCACAAAGTACGTTGTGGGAAGATGGTGAGAAATGGAGCATGACAAATCTACCAAAACTCAGTTGAAAAAGGACTCTTTTATTCTCCTGTAAGCAGAAGATTACAAGCTTATCAACCTCTAATGTGTGTTATAAGGTAAGGTGGTGGGGAGGCTGAGCTTCCCCCCAACCCATTTTAAAATATATATATTTTTTGATTTTGGAGAGGGAGGGGGAGAACATGTTCCTGCATGCCCCTTATTGGGGATCGAGCCCACAACCTGGGCCTTGACCAGGAACAGAACCATGATCTCCTGGTTCATAGGTTGATGCTTAACCACTGAGCTACACTGGCCGGGCTGGGAGGGCTGAGCTTAAGAGCCTCCGTCTGATAGAAGAAATGGGACAATGTGTCCATGCAATGGAGGAGGGTCAGCAACTATGACAGTGCATATAGCCGAGAGAGAAAAATCTGATCCAGGCTGCCCAACGAACAGGGTTCTGGTTAGTGTGAGACAGAGATGACTTGATTCCAGACAATAGAGAATTTTGCAGGGAAATTGACCCAAGCAGATTGTAGGAACTGGAGCAGGACCTCAGCTATTGCAAATTGGCAAGAGCTGAGTAGATCCCAGGCAGTTTTCTGGAAATGAGCAGAACTTCCCTGTAGCACGCTAGCAGGGAAGGGATGCCTCTGTGCAGTAACTCAACTGTATGCTGAAGGCCTCCTATGTGGTGATGAGGGAATAACCAACTCTGTATAAAGGCCAGAGAAGACGGCAGAGATGATTAAGTTGAGATGGGCACCATTCTCCCCATTTCCACAGGTAAGAACATTAGGGTTTAAAGCAAGACACCAAAGGTATCTTAGCTGATAAGTAGGGTCTGCCTTGGGTCCATTTTTGAACAAAGCAGTTATAAATGAACAAACTTCAACCAAAACGTGTGATAGATAATATGGATCTAAAATAGAGATGGTTAAATGTTAACTCCACAAACACATTTTTCCAACACATGCCCCTGCTTTTTCTGAGAGCAAAGAAAAGCAAAGTATAAGTTTGTAAGTATTCTTTTAATGAGGGTAATAAAAATGTTTATGTATACACAAGAGGCTGTTAATATTCCCAAATAGAAATCTGAGGTTATGTAGACATATCAAATCCCAGCTTTACTAAAATATAATCAGACTTTCTAAAATAACATTCCTCTTCACCCACCACCAGGGTTGGTGACAAAACTAAGGTTTATAGTGAGTTTCAAGCTCAGCTTCATAACCTAGATCTGTTGCCCGAGGACTCTTTGCAATTCTTCCCAAAAACAATTTACCCTAAAGTAAATATTATATCAATTCCCTCCCCCAGTACTTCCTACTAAAAGGAATTTAAATTGCCAAATGACATTTATTAAAAATACGAACCTCTATGTAAAAATTTACTAAAATAAGCAGGAAACTTTATTCTAGTTATTAGGCAAAATTACCAATAGGCAGGCATTATAAACAAGAATTTGGGCTGAATATTTTTCCTATTTCCAAAAGCATATTTTTCTACATCAGCATACATATAGTTAGAAGTTGATGATAACATGTGGTTTTATGTTGACATAAATTTAGTTGCTTCTGCTTCTAATTCCCAGTATTTCTTTCCAGATCTCCAGCCCCGATGATGGTTTTCAGGGTAAATCTCTTTATGAAAGCTGGTTGGAAAAGGATCCTTCCTCTGAAAATACAAACCTTCCTAGGTAAGTTACTTGTTTATATATTTTCTACCACAGGATAGATTATGAATTCCCCTTGCCCCTTGTTTTCCCCAGGCATGCAATGCGCAGGTGCCTCACCAACAATCTGAGTCAAGACAATCCTACAGGATTCCTCTGTGCAGCCTTTGATGTGCTGATCAGCCGGAACAGCCAAATCTTTTAACCCACAGTAGAGCAGCAATCTAGTTTCACAAGATTTTAGTCAAGATTAGTTTGCTCCATTATTAAGCATTATTTTGCATTCTTATACAAAATTTCATTTAGACATGTATTGAATACTTAACAATGTAACTTCAAATGATAAAGATGAAGTTAAAAAACAAATGATGGATTATTAGTTTCTAAATTTATTAATGGGCATTATCAGTAACTACCAAATTGTTAGTCAGACCTGTTAACCAACTTAGACTTTAAGTATTAATGTATTTCTTAGTTCATCTCAGTCATACAGCAGTTTTCCTGAATTCATTTTATATTTTCTACTTCAATGCTATTTCTAAAAGCAGCAGATGATGTGGTTTATGGCTTCATTCCATATTCCAAATACATCTGTGAAAGTTTAAATGTGTTTCCATTATAAATGTTTCACATACTTAAATAGAAAAAAAAGTTTAGATTTAGGAGTATATAGTTAGGTTCTTCATGCATATGTAATTTTATATCCTGTTCTATTATGACTAGTTTTCCATGTGATTACATTATTACATGTAATACATATGTATATGCAGAGTGGTTTCTTAATTATATACAAAGAAATATACTGTAATTAGACTTCCTCATTGCCATTTTCTGATTAGTCCATAATTCTGAGGGCAGGAACCATATCTTGTTTTCCCCTCTAAACAAATACCATAAATGCAGAAAATATGGAAGACAGCAGTCACTAGACTGCCGTCTTTGGTGGCATTGCTAAGCCCTGGTTGTGGGCTTTATGTTTATCACACCAATATCCAGCAGATAGTACCAAAGTGTCTTCGGGTGATATACCTTTTCCTAAATCCTATAAATGTGCCATTAAATTCCTTCTATTTTTGGGATGGGATTCACTGCCCCATCTATTTAACTTCATATTATTTATGCATTCTCTCTCTGTATGTGTATGTATTTATATTCTACATCTAGAATCAACAAGCTGGGATCTGGAAGCGATTTTGAAGCTTATTTTCAGAGACTTGGCATTGCGTCAGGCAGAGCCCGTTACACTAAGAATAGGGTAAGCCATTTTATTTTGGATACATAGTATCTCATCCACATCCTTCTTGTTAAGAATTCTGTCATTTCACTGTTTGGTACAGGCACCGGGTGGACATGTGGCCTGTAAAGAATTTCAGGGATAGACAGACTGCATGCCCCTTTGCAAATGGATTAGATAGTAATTTGGGTTGTTTTGTGATTTTCATTGCCAGTTATTCAGTGCTATAGTAGTTGACCGAATAATGTCAGGGACTTAGCTAGTGATCAGTGTTAAGTAGTAGTTCACATACTTTTGCTGACACAGGCATTGTTGGAAAATCTCACGCTCCTAGTCTGGTAAGTTTTGATGTGCTTTTCCTGGAGAAAATGTGCTGGTGGAGAACATTTCTGTTACAGAGAATGCAGCTAAGATTCTTTGTTACAAGCCTCTCTTCACATTCCCATACTGCCTTTCATTTGCGTCCAAGCTCTTGAATAGCCAACAAAACAGGTTTCTTTTAATTTTTTAAAAAAATATATTTTATTGATTTTTTTCACAGAGAGGAAGGGAGAGAGATAGAAAGTTAGAAACATCGATGAGAGAGAAACACCGATCAGCTGCCTCCTGCACATCTCCCACTGGGGATGTGCCTGCAACCCAGGTACATGCCCTTGACCGGAATCGAACCTGGGACCTTTCAGTCCGCAGACTGACGCTCTACCCACTGAGCCAAACCGGTTTCGGCGTTTCTTTTAATTTTTAACTTGATACTGGTTTGCATGATCGCCATTCAAACACATTGATGATATGCAAATACTTAGATATGCCAATATAAAACATGTTTGCTTGCCTATGTTATAAATTATCATAAAGCACACTGAATCTTAGAGTGAAGAAAAGCAATGTATAGCTTTGCAAATTGGCAGGAGCCGAGTAGATTTGTCAGATTTTAATAATTTTCAAATCATATTTGCAATATAACATCTTGCTTATATAGAATACAACTAAGAATGAAGTAGAATAACTCAAAGGCATACATTTGCATAGTGATACTCATTAATACTTTACCTCTTTCATTGCCCTTTCATTTTTATACTCTGTCATCATTCTGAACAATGTTACCTAGTTACTAAGACAATGCAGATTAAAACCAACTAGACAGAAGGATATTCCTTTTAGTGATAACTAAAAGCAGTGAAAATGACAGCCTGATAGCAATGAAGATATCTAAAAACTAAAGTTAAGGAAGACCTAAGAAATAAAAAAAAATATTTTGGTAATACTTAAACAGGGTAAATGGCATTTGGTTATGCACTGTTTGTGGAGACAGGGAAGGAGCTTAAACTGCCCAGTACCTTTCATTCCCAACTGTCAAGTGTGCTCCTTTGCAACTGGAGTATGAACTCCTTAATCTTATCAGAAATACAATAAGGAGAATTTCCAAGCAGTATTTTGAATGAAGATTGCATGAATTATATAATGAATGGTAACTTTTTTGCTTCATTACAATAAAACTCAGAGTGCCATATAGCTGTATTTTCTGCAATCAATTTGAATATATAATGTTTGTACTTGGTCTCCCCTCCCACCCCCACCCCCAACCTTTCTTTAGAAAACAGAGAAGTACAGCAGCTACCCGGTATACCATACAATTTATGAGACGTTTGAATTGGTAGAAAATTTTTATGACCCTACGTTTAAAAAACAGCTCTCTGTGGCTCAATTACGAGGCGCACTGGTTTATGAGCTTGCAGACTCTCAAATCATTCCTTTCAATATTCAAGACTATGCAAAAGCTTTGAAAAACTATGCAACAAGTATCTACAATTTATCCAAGAAACACGACCAACAGTTGAAAGACCATGGCGTATCATTTGGTAAGAAATGACTGAGCAGGTATTCTATAATCTATAAGAGGTTTAAGATATTTTGTATCATCCTAGAGTTTATCCCTGCCTCACTTATTAGTTGTGGCTTCTAGGAAAAAAAAATTTAACATCTAGTAAAGACTGATTTAATTTGGTATTTATAGGCTGAATCCATTTTGCTAAAGGTTGTGCTACAAATGTTGGGCTTTCCCTGTTATAAGACTAATATATAGATGCAGTACACCATCAAACAAATATTGGAAAGTAGAGAAAACCAATTCCACTACATACATAATTATTACTGCATATGTCTTTTAATGTTTGTCTACATGGGGGATTTTTTTTTTTTTTTTTTTTACAGTTTTAAGCATTTTTTCATTGTCCATCTGGCCATTTTGTGGTTGCTGTTCTACAAAACATGGATGAAACAGTGTAGTAGCATTGGTGTGGTTCATATATTGGCTCTACTATTTATTCACTGTGTGACCTTGGGAAAGTTACTTGAACCCTGTGTGTTGTCAATTTTCCTATGAGTGAAATGGTAAAACAATATACGATGTTTCCAAGATTGCTGTGGAGATTCAGTTGACACAGAAACAATGGTGACTGACACTTAATGCTCATAAATGTTACCTATTATTACTGGTTTATTATGCTGAGAGTATATATGAGTATATAATGTAATTATCAAATTTGTACTGAATGCCTATTGTGTACCAAGTATTATTATTGCCTGGACTACATATGGATGTTTAAGACATTGTCCTCAGAGCTTAAAGTCTCATGTGGGGAAGAAGACAAAATGCAAGGGACAAGTTATTATAAAGATACACAGAAAGTACTACCTTAGGAGCACAAAGGTCAGTAATGACTTTTGAATATTATTACATAAGAATTAGTATTCTTCAGAAAGTTCTGATGAGCAGCAGGTACTAAGATCTAGAAATAAATGAAGCAAAGACAGAAAACTGTGTTTAGACATAAGAGACAAAATATAGACATAGCAGGGCCTACAGCAAGATGGATATCCATAGGTCCATGGCTATCCAGCATCCAGTTCTCTACCTAAATGCCCGGATTTCCTCTTGGCAAATTATCTTTTATCAACTTGTGTAAGTCAAATTGATAAGAGAAACCATACAGCTAGGACCTAGTCCTTAATTAATACCTTCCTCCCCATATTTCCAAATTTTCCATCTCATATTAGTGATTCTTTATCAATGTTAAACATTATTATAATCTCTTCTATCTTAAAAACATTTCCTCTCCTGATGTGCCCTACTTCACAATCAAAATTTTTCATTTAGTGCCAGGAAAAAAAATAGTCCCTCAAATGTCTTAAGAAATGGATGATTTACACTCCTCACCTCCAGTTCTTTACCTCCCATTAACCAAACCACTGCACTGTCTTCATGTTCCTACTATTGTAGTGAAATTGCTCTTGCCAAAGTTTCATTCACCTGTGTCACTAAATCCCAGAAACACATTCAGTTCTTATCTATCTTGATTTCTATGCTTTTGAAATTTCTTCAACCCTTTGTCCTTAGTGCCCGTATCTATTAGATTTATACATGGTTTAAAACAGCAACAAAAATGAAAGTTTATAGAATATCTAGGGCTTAAATAAACCTTGTTTTTATATTGACTATACTTAAACTGAATGTACTACACAGTAGGTCCTCTAATAATGCTGTTTCATTAAAGCATAAATGCCTGTGGACCTTAAGTCTAGTTTTTATCAATTAGCCTATGGTAAAACTGGTTTCATTATATGTTGTCTTGCTTAAAGTTAGAGTACCTATCAATGATGTGAAGTGAGGGCTTACTGTCCTTAGTAGCAGTGTGAATTATATATGCCCTAGATTCTTTAAAGTTATTTTCTTAAGAACCAATTTAGCCATTTTCTGTCTGACACTTTGTCACAATACTTTAAACAATTTCCATGGCTCTGCCAGAGGCTCGGTATAAAAATGGTTTCAATATTATTCAGTCATCTCAACCTGGAATGGGAGGGCAGGAAAGCGAACCTCTGAAAGATGAAGCGCTTATACTTATTTCCCTCTTGCTTTTCTTCTTTGGAAAGACGCCTTATTTTCTGCTGTACAAAACTTCTCAGAGGCTGCTTCAGATTTCCACAGAAGACTTACAGAAGTGGATCTTAACAAGTAAGTTTCCAATGTAAAGTCCCCCTGCTATTTTAAAGCATTCAGCGCTAAATCACTGCTACTCAAATTATGGTCAGCCTTATCCTTATTTAATATTTTTAAATATGGCTCCCTGGTAGGAGTGTAATGATCTGTTTCTTGTTCTCCAAGTCCCATGGCAGTGCGAATTGTGAATGACCAGCTGATGCTCCTGGAAAGAGCATTCATCGATCCCCTTGGTTTACCTGGGAGGAAGTTCTACAGGTAAGGAAGCAGCAGGTGTTCCATTAAAGGACACTGCTTTCAACTATTGCCATCACGTGAGTGGAAGGTAAATACGTGTATCGAGAGGAACATGAAAAAGTTGATGCAAATCAGTATAATTTCATGTTGTTTACTGCTCTGCTGTAGATGTAAATCATGATAGTTAAAAAAGAACTCTTCGCAACAAAGTCATAGCATCTTAAAGGGGATTTCCCAACTCATATGGTTCAATATTCTGCAGAAATCTTTTCTATAGGATTTCAGATACAGGCAAACCTCATTGTATTGAGCTTCAAACATTTTGCCCTTTTTGCTGGTAGAGGGTTTTGCCTTCAATTTATAAAAAAGACTGCAAAGCTCTCTGCTTTGGTGGTCTGGAATGGAACTTGCGAAGTCTCCAAGGTGTGCCTGTATCTGGACATCCAGCTGCTACTGGAACCTTCTGGTGGTGGACGGGGTGCTTATTACCTCTTCAAGTTTCTCCAAAATCAAATAGATTAAATCTAGATTTACTTTTATTTAACATTTTAGGCTTTTGAAGATGATTTTCATGTTTCCCCTGAACGAATTGCCTATTTTTCCACCTAGAATTTTTGCTTATAAAGGATTAAAATGATATATTGCAAACACTTAACTAATGGCTATTTCATTGGTATCAAACAAACATTAAGTTCATATTATTTATGATTTTATAAAAATAGCAGCCATTTACTGAGTGTCTCTGTGACCTAAATCCTCTATATACCTTAAATCTGCAAGCCTATGGGGGTGAAAGCAACTATAATCTCCATTTACCTCTGGGGGAACCTGAAGCTTAAAGAATAATTTGCCCAAGTTATACTTAGTATGTAGCAGAGCTAGACTTGAAAATCCTGTGTTTACTATTAGGATTAGTTAAATGTTAATACTAATCCTAATATCTGTAAGAAAGGCAACATAGTGAATATGTTATTTAATGATAAACAGCCTTATAGAATAGTTTTCACCATCTTAATTCAGATGAAAACACCCTGGAAGTCACTTACATATGTGTTGTGAACTAGAATATGGAGTTTCTGATTCTAAATGATAGGTGCCATTTTTCCTCCTCTTACTGGCAGGCACCATGTTTAAGTTCTCCCTCTCTGGAGCTGCAAAGCACCAGTATCTCGTGTCCTGGTTTTTATAGCTGTTGCCCAGGGAACAGTCTGGAAGGTTTGGTTCTAGAGGTCACCACCTACAAGTTACTACACACCCCAGTCTTTCTGAGAAAGCATATGGAGTTGCTCTCAGGGATGGAAGCTGGTGGAAGCAATATTTGTGCTCTCCTTCTGCCTCACTCCAGCTTAGTGGTTTCTCCCAGAAAGGAGGGTATACCCTTTGTCTGGCACAATTTGTGTAGCTACTGCCCAGGGGCAACTCTACCTTGCCTGGCTCTGATGGCTAGTGGGGCTTATGCTGGCATGTCTTAAATAGCTCCCACCCTCACTGCATGAGGCCCAGGAGCACAGTATTCCAGTGAAAGAGGCCTATAAGTTTATCAACTACAGCCTGAGGGGTAGGTTTCCAACTAAACACACATCTAAGGGTTAACTGTAAACCATATCAGACATGCTGGATGGCTGATGCTGTCTTTATGCTTTTCTTCTGTGCTCCAGAGTCTCTTGTGTGTCTCATGGCCCATTTTTACAGATGAAAAAAGTAGTAAAATATGACATCAAAAACATAATGACTGGCTCAGTTGGTTTGAGCGCTGTCCCATACACCAAAAGGTTGCGGATTTGATCCCCGGTCAGGCATGTATGGGAGGCAACTAACATCGATGTTTTTCTCTCTAAAAATCAAACATATCCTTGGACGAGGATAAAACAAAAAACCCCATAAAATCTGTGTTTGGTGGGAGAGTAAATACATTTTTATAAAAGTATAAATTATTGTATGTTAGCCTCATGGCAGTCACAAAGCAAAACCTACAGTATATACACAAGGATAATGAGAAAGAAAGCTAAACATACCAACAGTCATCAAACCACAAGAGAAGCAACAGAGAACTGATAACAGCCAGCAAAGCAATAGCAATGAGTGCATACCAATATTTACTTTAAACGTGAACTTTCCAATCAAAAGACTCACTTGAGAAGGACTCACACAAACTGAAACTTATGGAAAAAGATACACCATACATGTGGAAACCAAAAGGAAACAGAGTAGCTCTACTTATATCAGCCAAGACAGACTTCAAGAATAAATAACTAAATATATACATACATGCACTCAATATAGGAGCATATATATATATATGTGTATATATATATATATATATATATATATATATATATATATATATATCGGAGATTTCAAGACCATACTTACTTGGATGGATAGATTAACAGACAAAATCAGCCTTAAGTGATATATATAAAATATTCCATCCAAAAGCAACAGAAAACACATTTTTCTTAAGTGCACATACATTTTTTTTTCAACATTCTTAAGGATAGATGATTTATATTAGGCCACAAAACAAGTTTTACACATCTAAAATCATATCAAGCAAATTTCCCAACCACAATGGCATGACACTAGAAATCAATTACAAGAGAAAACTGGAAAGTTCACAAATATGTGGAGATTAAAAAACATGCTACTGAACAATAGGCCAATCTAGAAATCAAAGAATACATATCAATCTTTTCAAACTCATTTTATGAATTCAGCACTATCCTGACACCAAAACCAGACAAGGACATCAGAAGAAAAAAAATTTAGAGGCTAATATCCTGATGAACATAGGTACAAAAATTCTCAGCAAAATAATTAGGAAATGAAATACGAAAGTACGTTCAAAGAAATACACACCGTGATCAAGTGGTATTTATTCCAGCGATGTCAGGGTGGTTTACTATATGCAAATCAATGTGATACACCACATTAAAAGGATAAATGTCGTATTTCAATAGATGCAGAAAAAGGATTTCACAAAATTCAACATCCATTTAGGATAAAAACTCTCAACATAACAAAAGGCTATATATAAACAAGTCTGCTATCACATACTGAGTGGTGAAAAGCTGAAAGCTTTTCAGGAATAAGACAAAGATGGCCATTCACGCCACTTTTATTCTTCAACATACTATAGAAAATCCCGAAGACTACCAAAACCTGTTAGGACTAATAAATTCATTAATACTGCAGGGTAAAAAAAAAATCAATATACAAAAACTTGTGTTTCTATATACAAACAATGAACTATTAGAAATGAAGAAAACAATCCAATTTATAGCTGCAATAAACAAAACACTAGGAATAAATTTAAGAATGGAGGTAAAAGACCTGTACAATGAAAACTATAAAATACTGAAGGAAATTAAAGATGACTCAAATAAATAGTTCATGCTCATGGATGGGAAGATTTAGCATCATTAAAATGTCCATATTCCCTAAAGCAATATACAAAATGCAATATTTATCAAAACCCCAATGGCATTTTTTCACAGAAATAGAACAAAAAGTGCTCAACTTGTATGGGACCAAAAGACCCCGCATAGCCAA